GACTGGCTGATTTCTGTAGACATTCTACTATGTATGCTAAAGGAAAAAAACTATAGATTTTCAAAAAAATGCTGGTATCTGTAAAGAATGGTTTGAGGCAAGATTGATGTGGAAAATATCAGGGTAAGAATTTAAAATTTTCTCAGAGGGATATAAATAATGATCTGTTGTAACTGAAGTGAAAGTATACTAATAAAATTCTCTGGTTAATATTATAGGTAGGGGTTTTGTGGAACAGATGAAACAGTAAGACTGAAGTAATAAGGGGTCTAGGACTAAAGGTTTGAAGGAGAATAAAGCCACTGTTGGGACACCACTTGTGGAACTTTTCAAGCTAAAGAAAAGAGCTTAGAGGGGAAAAGAACAACTACACAGGGGAAAATGTGAGTTGAAGACTTGGATGCTGATGAAGCTGCCCTCTTGTCAAGGCTTGGGAGATAGTTACACTAAGAATTAAAGAAAAGGTGTGGCTATTTCTGTGGGTAATCTTAGTATGAGATTTATGACTGATGTCTTGTATAAGTCACCTGCTGAGAGATTGAGGATGTGGGGGATTCTGGTAAGGATGAGGCTCTGGGGGATAATGGTTTCTGGGTTCAATTTCTTATCTTCTGGGGGAAAATCAATAATAATTACTTCTGGTAACTACTAGTAAGTGATGTCTGCTAAGTAATTATCTGTTTACTTCTCTAATGCAAGCATGGGGAACAAAGTAATTGGAAAAGGGTATTCTCTATATACATGTGGGTGGTTCTGATCAGGTACTAGTGGTAAGATATCAGCTGATGTAAGAAGATGGTATGAAATAAGTTGTATCTGAAAGACAATTGGTTATGAAATAAATGTGGCTGAAAAATGTGTAGTGTGAAATAAACATGTTGAAAAGGAGAAAATATGAAGTAACTTCTGTTTGTGATAAAAATAATATGTAGTGCAAAAAGAAATGGGATAACAAAAGACTGAAATAAATATTCTGAGATGAGATGAGAAATCTGTGTGGTGAAATATATATGTAGGTGATATAAGCAATGAGTAATGAGTTGAAATGAGATGTATGATGAGAATGTAGGTGATATAAGCCATGTGTATTGAGTTTGAAATGGAATGTAAGAATGAAATACTTGTAGTATGAAATAAATCTAGAATAAAATAAATGTAGAATGAAGTAATTGATGTATGAAAAGAAGTGGATGATGAGTGAGCTGAGATGACAATATCTGGATGAGAAATCAGATGTATGGGATGAAACAGTATATGTAGTCTGAATAAGTGATATCTGAGATGAAATAAATAACATTTACTGAAAGATTATTATCATAGAAAGAAGATACTGAGGGAAGACTAATTTGTATCTTGAGATGTGTGATATGTAGTATGTTGTAGCTATGTAGTACTATATATTATGTAACCAAACTATGTGTAAAAATACTATTTTGTAACCTTCTGAACTGGATACAAGATAAATGGTTATGTAGCATATGCATATCTGGTTGTAGTAACATGAAAACTACTGTAAATAGCTATTTTGTACTATATATGACCTTGATTGGTCTCACCACACCGATTGATCAAGTAAGAGACAAAGTGCTCCTTCAGAGGAAGGAAAACCAATATCAAGTACGCGGACGTATCTGGATTCCACATTTTGGAGAGCTTGGCGTAATTCTCCTCGTACTCCTTCAATGTTGGCTACAGTCTCAATTTCTTCCGTGCCAAATCAAATGTTGACCATTTATCCTCGCTGTTGAAATGCTTCCGGCAATTCTTCTTGATGTTCTTCCAAATGTGCCAAGAGCACAGGATACGGTTGGCGTTTGGGTAGACTTTCTTAATCGCATTTATGACTGCTTGCTCATGGTTGGTGAAAATGACTGAGGGCGATTCTTTATCCATCACTAGATGGAGATGCTCCAGGGCCCACGTATAATTTGGTTCCTTTTCAGCTGAGAGGAAACAAAAAGCCACCGTGAATGACCAATTGCATGAATTAATTCCAATGATATGAAGCAGGGGCATGTTGTACTTGTTTGTTTTGTAAGTAAAATCAAGGAGGATTGTGGTTGGGAAGCATTTGACCAATTCAAGTGAACGGGGGTGAGCGAAAAAGAACAAGGTCATGAGTCCTTCAACACTGTCAATCATGAAGTAAAACTGCTTCTCCCGGATTTGATGGACCAGAGCCTCAATTGGAGTGCCTCCTTGAAGCTGGTCAATGCGCATCTTCCCTCAGTGATTGTAAATGGTGTTGAGGGTGGCGTGCGACAGTTTATTTGTGTCTTGAATTAAAGCCAACTTGATCTTCAAGGGGGCAACACCGGAGTCAGTTAATTCTGTGACCTTTTCTTTTTGGGAGTCGGTCAATCTTCTGTGAATTGCGTGAATGTATGGATCCTCCGAAGCGGGGTGGTTGTGATTTGGATTCTTGACCGTGATTCTGTAGTGTCCCTCCCTCTTGTAGAAATTGCCCAGCATTTCAAAGGGACAGCCAATCTTTTTAGATTTGCCCA